CCCCCCCGCCCAACTGCTTCCCGACCCCCCTTCCCGCCGGGATCGCTCTCAGGAACCGGATCACCCAGGACACGTTTAAGCGAGGGGAGCGGCGCGGGCCTCCCTGCAGCCCGGCGCCTGCCGCTCTCGCTCCTGGCGGCGTTGGGAAAGAAGGCACATACGTTGCTCGCGCTACATCAAACATTGCAAAATTCTTCCCTAAATGTTCACTTTAAAAAAGATGAGGCTTTTTTGCCATGCCCAACCTCTTTTTGTATTTGCTGTCTGCAACACATTTGCGTTGCGTAATCGCATTGGCGCAAGTGTTTATGCAAGCCAGGTTTCAACATCTGATGGCCAAGTGTTTGCAAAGATTGGAGTCCTTTCACCAATCAATAGTGTGTCCCCCCACAAACCTGTTCAGGCTTCTTCAGTCAAGTTGTGTTGGGAATTACAGACAAGAAAACCCTGTTGGTTTCCCTTGTGCACAGTGGGCTTTTCCTCAGAGCCCGGGCTGGCTGGAGCGCTCCGGGAAGACGCGGCTGCCCCGGCTGCAGCAAAGCGGCCGCCGTGATGGTCACCAGCACCAGGGGTGGCTCCCTGACACCGTCCCTGGGGGAGGGCGCAGAGGGGACCCCAGCGAGGCAGGCAGGGCCTGCGAGCAGCAGGACAGGGCTCCGCCACAGACTGGAGATTATCACAAGAAGCGGATCCAGCACAGGGGTACGAGAACAGTAGTTGCACAAGGGACATTTTAGGAGCAGTTACGCACAATGGTGGCATAGAAAGAGGTGATTTAACCCATGGTGAAACCAGCAGCATCACAGAAATATTTTAATATCCTCAGCAAAAGTGAGGTTTTTCTAGACTGGGCCCTGGCTGGCCAAAACTACCCATCCTCCAGGTGCTGCTGGGCACGAGTTCATTCCTCTCCAGACCTTGAGCCAGATAACGCAGTCCCCGCGCCGCCCTGCAGCATTGCAGCCCTGTCAGCTCCAGCTCCTCACACTTTCCAGCTCCTGCTGCCAGGAGCCTACATGACTAAAGGGCATTTGCTCCCTCTCTCAGCAGCCTTCCGGGCAGACACCATCACTGATAACCCCACTTTAAGTTATTAACCTAATGAACTCAATTGTTTTGTAACTGATTTTTTTCCTTCTGTTTGACAGAAAGAAAAGAGTACCTGCATCTTCTACAGCTAGATAGTTCTAGAAAGGTGAGATCCATTTCACAGACACTCCAAGAAGATCTATGAAAATAATATGGAGTTATTAAAAGCTTTGGATTTAATTTATAGCCTCCTGAAGCTAATATAAATTAACATGGCAAACATTTCACTGATCATTTGCAAAGGTTTTTGTCACTTTTTCCACTTCTGCCAAACACCAATGATCAGCAGGATACACATAGGAGAACTGGAATCCACTTTAAACAGTCTGTCCAGTATTTGTCAGCACTAAATAAAAAGTGCTTTTCTCTTCAACACGTACCTTTCAGACTAATGTGGAAAGTAGAAAAACAGTATTCTGTCTTAGACAGGACAGATCATTAGACTTTGATAAAAGGAAAAAAAGCAGCAATTTAAAATCAGTCAGCTCACTGGACTAAAAGATACTGATGCTTTAGATGTCTAACACTTTTTCTGTCATTTAAGGATCCCAGACCTACAAAAGTGAATGTCATAGACTCACAGGCAGGAAATACCATTATTTTACAACTGGTAAAGATATCTTTAAGCTAAAGGAACTCTCAGTGAAAATAAAAATCATAATCAACACGGACAGTATTTAAAGCTAACATCATCGGTCCTCTGCTTTCAGTCCAAGATCTATTGTACTTCCACTAATTAAAGCTAGTAATATTACAGAGCTAGTTCAGAAAGCAGGAATAATACTACTGCAATCAGAAATACTGCAATATATCTTG